CCTTAAACCATAGTATTGACATTTGTCCTTTTTTGTTTTGTTTTTACTTTTGAAATCATATTAAGGTTGTCAAATGACAAACATATTCAAAGCATTAGACGATCTGATTACCTGTACAGTGCGGTAGTCGACCATGCGGGTTATTATTTGTCTGAAAATCCCAGTAGTAGTATGTTTCATTTCCGCACACATATTCTTCTTTGACATCGTGGTCAAAGTCGAATCCTTCGTCGCAGCTTAGTACACATGTAATTGTATTGCTGTTGTTTACACAGGACAAGGTAGAGTTGCTTGGTTCAACTAACTCTGTACATTCTAAAAATAAGATAGTGAGCAAATTATTTTATCATATAGCATATATATGTTCATGAGATCAGGACATAATAATTTAAATAATTAGGAATGGCATTAGTTTCATTATTTTATTTTACTTTTTATTGCTGTAGGTAATTTATATCCTTGACTCTTGTCAACTGGTGCTACATTTTATGAATATTTTATTTCAAATCTAGTGTAATCAGGTTAACAATAATAAATGATTTGTGCTAAGATCATCTATAACAATTAACTGATAATATTGAACCAACAATACGCATTCAATACTGTTTGATCTTTAGCATTTCAAGGTCAAAGGAACTGGCAGTACCTCGACAAGATTCTAAGCTGCATATTTCGATTTCTGTATCTAATCCTTCACACAGTTTTCCTCCATTATCTGGAAGGGGATCTGCGCATGCCCGCCAACGTTGGATTGTACCATTACCACAGCTGACAGAACATTCTGTCCAATTATCCCAGTCAGACCAACTGCCGTCAACTTAAACAAGGAATTTATCATTACATACAATTTTATCAAGAAATTTGCTCAAAATGAAAATATTCCTCTTATAAAAAATATGCTTCCAAAGTTTGTTATATACCTTCATCAGGAACGCTCGAATAAGATTTTTAAACATTGACAAACACATGAATCCTCAAAAGCCTAATAATAAAAGACAATAAATTCGATGAACAAATATGTGATAAAAATTAAGTATAGACATAATAAAATAAAAACTAATTCCAATTTTTAATTATGATATTGTCAGTATTACATATTTCCCCATTAATCACCTCCTATTTTCAAATATTTAGGAATTGAATAAATTGACCAGGAATCTAGTGATGTCTTTAAAAAGAACCTACCCATTGTAATTTCACATAACTCTCCTGTATACCCATAGTCACATGAGCACGCATAATTATTCACTTCATCTATGCAGGTTGCATTATTCTGGCAGACATGTACAGCACAATCATTAATATTTGTATCACAGTTAGTGCCTGTAAAACCAACATCACAAGCGCAAGTGTATCCCAAAAGTTTGTCAGTACAGCTTCCATTTACACAAGGATTTATTTGGCAGTAATCATAATCTGTAAAACAATAACCACATGTTTCATCGAACTGAGTTCGATTAAAGATGTCAAAGTGATATTAAGTAAGCGATTATCGTGTTAACAAATATTACATATACCTATTAAAGAATGTAAATGCGTCTATCTAAAAAAATGTAAGCCATTCTGCCTGAGATCTTTAGGTTATTATGCAAATCATAAACATAAGCAATTAAGGTTCTAAAGTTAGTAAGGTAAAAAAAATCACAAGCACTTCTCTGGTCAACTTTGTTTTAGTTGTTGTTAAATGGGATTTGTATTTTATTTTGTCTCTTTTTGAATAGTTCCTTTTTTTAAAATATGGTGTCCAAATTATAGATGAATCTTCAAGAGGAGCTAAGTTATATAACCATTGCCAATGAAAAAATTAAAAATAAATATATACTTGCCATCACATTTGGATGGAATATTTATGTATGCATTCATCAGATTGCTATAAACAAACTCATTCCAGTTGACGAATCCCGAAGACAAACCTTCACTTTTACATTTCGAATACAAATGTTCATTATTCATATACGCTTGCTGGGAAACTATGCTAAACTGTGAAATAGTTCCTATGAAGTTATATCCTGTAAGAATAAGATCATGAGTGTAATTCACTTTGAATATCACTATTTTAAATTGAAAGTCTTTCCAATGTAAAGGGATAACAATAGTTGACAATGTAAACCATGCAATTTAGCTTTGAAATCTATATAATCTTTTCAAACGAGAGGCAAAAGATCTCAAAATGGACATAAACGAAAATAAACTGACAACGCCATGGCTAAAAAAGAAAAAGACCAACAGACAAATAACAGTAAAGAAAACACAACATTCATATCTCAAAAGATTGAGCAACACAAGCCCCACCAAACACTGGGGTGATCCAATGTGCTTTGAAAGGGTAAGCAGATCCTGCTCCACATGTGGCACCAGTCGTGTTGTTCATGTAAGCATACAATCCAATAGCGTAAGTAAACGCCAATTTAATAATAAGAAGAAGTAGTATGGTTTCCACTGCGACAACTATCTACAAGTTATCAAATTTCGTAGATATAAAAAAAATAACTTAAGCTTAATCTTAGGGCTTAAAAAAAACTAAGAAACTTTATCGTATAGCAAGTTAAAACAAGACCCTTCCTTACAAGACCAAATTTAGGACAATTTATAAATTAGAAAACTAACAGCCCGATTAATAAAAAATGAATATGGTACACAAGCATTTAAACACTATAATGCCTTTGGAGGTAAACCTACATTGTGACACTCATTTAATAGCATTATATATTTAAAATGTTATTTTGTTCTATACTTTTTTTTTAGGCCAGATCTTTATTAACGAACTTACAATGTCGTTTGCAAAGAATTGGCGAGGAAAAACACTATGTACTTGCGGTCATGAATTTCAAATGATATGACATAAGAAAATGTGTTATGATAGCAAATGAGACAATTTTTCAACAGACTCTAAATCACGTGGATTCAAATAAAATTGTTGTGTTTTATTAACCCAGATTCCTATCTGTTTAAGTGTTGAATCATAGCTAATATTGCAAAATCATTTCTTTTAACAGCAAGACAATTTTTGATTTCACTGTAATATTTTTTTTACAATTAAAGAATTCAGTCAAAACAATATCTTTTCAATTATGTCTTTTGCATAACTGTATACATACGTGTTGGTTCCAAAATTTACAAAGTTGTGTACAATATTTAATAAAAGTCAACTGATAATCTAGGTAGTTTTATAAGGACAACTAAAGGCTTATTAAACATATTTTTTTTTACATTTGCCTACAATATTGAACCTACCTCCTAAAGTTATATTTAAGTCAAGATCTTGAGTAAAATTAACGTTGTTTTCATATATTTTATGCAGTTCTCCATCAACAAATAATGAAATATCATTTGTGTAAACATGTAATGTAATGTGAAACCATTTCTTTGACAAATCAAGACCATCAAAAGCATCAGATGAGTTTCTGTCAAAATAAAAAAAAAATTGTTATAGATAATGCATATTTTAAGGTTTTTCTTGAAGTAAAACACCCCGACGAGGTGTGCTATACGACAAGAAAAACCTTAAAATATGCATTATCTGACTTATATACCGTCAACAAATATTATTTTCTGGAAAAATTTACAGTATTTCCATCCTATTTTACCGACCACATTAAAGTGGGATATTCTTTGCTGGTGTGTTCAGGTTTTAATACGCCCTACGGCTCATTTATAATGTGTAATAAAACTCACTTATTAATCTAGATATATAAACGATAGAAATCATTGTCCAGTTTCAATAGAAATATTGCTGTAACTGCATGAAGCAAGACACAAATGAATTGTTACGGTGTATGAAAAATAACAGTCACTTTGTAAGTAATTTATTGTATCAACCTTGTTCATGAAAGAGGGATGCTATGTTTTTTTTTGTTTATTTTCATGACATTTTTATCGCAGAAAAGCAGATTATTTTTTCAACAAAGTTTGAAAAGAACAATTCAGTCAGAATAATTGTTTTCTCTCTTTAGTCTGGTAGTGCCACTTTTTTTTCTTTTTTTTTTATAAAACTCAAGAATCAGGATTAAATATTTTATCCCCTCCCTATTTTAAATTACGTGGGTGTGATTCTATAGAAAATAAGAACATTTGTCCATTTGATCATTAGATAGAGTAAAAGGTATATAAAGATGTAAAAAAAAGAACTGGCACGAAGAGAGCACGAAATCATGATGCATGTACATGTAACACGAAAAACGAATATCTATATAGGTCAAAGTATATTTTCTTATATAATGTGAATAAATAAGATTTTCACAATCCTACACACGAATTAGTTAAATCTAGCTTTTTTGTGAAAAGTTTTGCATTATTAAATTCATCTCACATAGTATCCCTTTATTGTAGACATAAATTAACTAAACTTCACATTATTTGTTTTGAAAGTTAAAATGTGCGTCAACGGCAATTATTGGTATTTCAGTCCAATAAACGGAGGAGAGGATTGTTGCTGTCTTAATCCTGTTGAACCCTCAATTGGCAACCACACACGATAGCGATCAAACGAATTAAATGTTTAAGTAAATAAAAGTTTGTATTTTAAACAAGACCTTATACAGGTCATTATTTTATGCCTTGAAGAAAATTTCATAGAAACTTGGTATCGTCCGGGTTGAAAAAATGACCTGTCGTTCTGAAAGAAAATAACTCCATGTAGGTTTATAAACAAATATAATAATATAAATATGTGAATCAAGTGAAAATGGATAATTTCCCTCCAGTTATTTTATTAACGTTAACCCTTACCGACGAAAGTGAATCATTTCTGGCTTTGTTTACTTTTCGATTTTACGTGAAGATGCAATAAAGAATATGGTTCCCTTCACTGGCACATCATATCATTTCCGGTTTTGATGCATAGCTTATAGTTTTAGGTTTTGTGATCAATATTCGTAAGCGTATTTATTGATAAGTAAAGCTGTCTAGGTTCATTTAACAAAAGAGTTCTCTACTTCAAAATATCAAATTAAAATAAGTTTTGTAAAAAAACAACACTGGAATGCAAGAATCATACATACGTGTTAATAGTTAACAAATCAGACGTCAACTCAATGTGGTCAGATGCAGAAGAATCTACGGCGAAAAAAGTTCCTCTGCATGAAGTTTGACAGTGTATATGAAAAGTCATCACAAATGGTGTTTGAAGTGGAATATCACTTATTTGCAACTCTGTGTAAGCAGGTTCTGTGCTGTTTGGGAAAACAACATCGTAATCTGAAAAACATCATTTAACATGATCCATAACAAATCAATTGGTATAACAAACTTTTCTTTAGCATTTTAATACAGTATATGCTCCTATAAACGAAAATCTCATGTTCAATGATTATTTTTTACTTTTATGCTTTGAATCAAATTAGGATACAGAAACCTAGACCTACATCAACTTCGACATGTTCGTTGAATAAGTAAATCTGAAAGTCATCGATTTAAGTTAAGATCAATAAATCTAATTATATTAAAACAACTTAAATTTGTATTCATTTTTACTTGTTATACTAGTATCAAAATGTGGGTTGAATTTGTAACGTAACGACTAATCAAGTAGATATTTGGAATCAACATTTGGAATAGTTTCAATATTAAATATACACCCGCAATTCCGATATCTCACCAACACAAAAAGATACATTGTCACTTTTTTCCATCAATGTAATGCGATTTCCTAGACATTGTTTACAGACTGTTGAACCATAGTTGCTCTCGTAATAACCAACATCGCATTCTACACATGGTGGGATACCAGTCAAAGACCAGGTACCAGGTTCACAAGCATCTGCAATACAATTAACGCAGTTAATTTGTGCTGTAACAACCCTATTTATCTACTTATTACTTTAAACTATGCAAATGTATATGAGTGAATTAGTTTCTGATTATCTAATTTAAATTAAATTAAACAATCAATGCAAAAAATATTTCAAGTCATTGGCTAATATTTTTCTCCTTCATAACCGACTTCGAATCATCATCATTTTCTAAATTTCTGTGTAGAAGCATGTAAAAATTGATTTAGAAGTTCAGCTAAATTTCATACGTGTCAGCCTAATCGAAAGGAAAGGATATATTGTATCTATTCATGACACAAAATCGGTATGTGCACAGCAAAAAAACAAAACAAAAAACAAAACAAAACAAAACAAAAAACAAGGGCCATTATTGCTGTTCTTCATCTCAAAACCTAAGGGAGGCCTTCAACACGTTGCAAACAAAAATGTTATTATTTACTGTCGAGAAATGGGAAGTGGACAATTGGAAAGTTAAAATCATTAGATTTGTCATAGATTTGTTTAAAAAAGTCAACATCAAGTAAAAATCAAAGCATAAAGCAGACCTTTCAGATTTGGTTGCAGGGACAAATAAATATAAATGAGATGCAATCACTCAATGAAATGTAGGTTATTGGGTAAAAGGATATCATCAATATATATAAAAGTGAAATTAACGAAGTTCGAAAAAAGGCTTTTTGTTTTTTGTGTTTGAGAAAGCACCATCGGCTTCATATGAGTATACAAATGATTCGGCCAGTAGGTTGCCCCTTTTCTAACCACTAGACTTCAGACTGACTTTCAATCAATACATCAATCCACACAACAGACAACAGACAAAACTAGTCAATATGACAGACTTTCGATCAATTTTTTGGACTGCATCTAGACAACTTAAACTAAAATCTGTTTAAAACTTACCCTCACAATTTATCAGTTAAAACAAAATAAATTGAGAATGGCAATAAAAGTACCTTCACATTCTGATACACCTATAGCACCAACTCTGGCTGTTGTCTGAGTATACGGACATGGAATGCAGTCATCTTGAGCAAAATTTGGTTGGTATGAACCTCTGGAACATGTACTACAGGTTTTTGAACTGCCGTCATAAAACGTACCTGCTGGACACGGCACTAATAAAATATAATTACATTACATGTATGTTTCATTATAATACGTTATTTTGATTGGCTAACAGCAAGCTCGTGTCATTCTATAATTAACCTTCATTTCCAAATGAAATGTAACATTTTATTGATATTAAAGAAATTTCTTGGTATTCCTAAACGGAAGATTTTATACACACAGTAGAAGAAGTATACTTAACAACAAAATTATTTTCATTTACCTGTGTATAATATGACGCAGGTTTCTTCAAAAGTGATGATTTCCTAAAAATTGTTTGAAATTTCAGAGTGATATCATACTTTAACTTTGTTTAAACCTGTTTATTTACTTTTGACTTTAATTATTTATCCCTTGTATTTTTTTATTCACTGTGTATTTGCATTCAGGTGTCACAGGTCAAATTTATTCGTTCATTGTGTGTTGATTTACGTTTTTTTGATTGAGTTAAGCCTTCCAATTGATATTTTATGGTGTCTTTTTCTATGTTGTGATGTTATACTATTGTTTAAGAAAAGGGAGAAGGTTTGGTATCATTAAAACGTTTAATCCCGCTGCAAATGTTTACACCTGTCCTAAGTCAGGAATCTGATTACAGTAGTTGTCGTCCGTTTATGTAGTTCATACGTGTTTCTCGTTTCTCGTTTTTATATAGATTAGAACGTTGGTTTTTCCGTTTGAATGGTTATACACTAGTAATTATTTTGGGGCCCTTTATAGCTTGCTGTTCGGTGTGAGCCAATGCTCCTTGTTGAAGACCTTGACCTATAATGGTTTACTTTTATAAATTGTAACTTGGATGGAGAGTTGTCTCATTGGCACTCATACCACATCTTCCTATATCTATGGTGACACGAGCTTTCACAATACAGTGCAGAGATAAATAAAATAAAAACTTGATAGAAATCGTGTTTTCATGATCCTATCGAAAAAATATAATCATAAGTATTGAATGCTTCTTTTAATAATTTTATAGGGTTGTAAAAGTGTTGACCGTGCGTACATTTTTAGAATGAAGCGCTTGCGCGCTTCATACAAAATGTACTTCGGTCAACGGTTTTACATCCCAATAAATTTACAAAAAGAAGCATTCAATTCTTAAATAAAAGGATAATGTTTAAAAGGCAAAATAGGGGAAACAACTTCATGTCTATAAAAAAAACTCGATAAATGTAATTATATTATCTCTTTCAGAACAGGTTAGACGGCGTAATTTATCTGTTCGTTCATCTCAAGCCCTAAGTTGTTTTATGGTTACTTATTGGTTTTATTTTACAAGCAGTTTCGGAAATATTGAAAAGCATACAAGGGATTTATGTCCTACTAACGATTATTCTTAAACTTTAAAACATTTCAAGTTTAAAAAAAATATAGGATCAATTGCATTATAAAATTGTCAAGATATGTTGTTTTTTTCAACAATTCTAATAATCTTGTAAAGTTACACATAAAGTTCAAATACTTTTGACAGGGATATATTGACTTAATTCACAGAAATTAGTTTCAAACACATGCAGATACCGAACAAGAAATGTAAGTCCATCATGTACATTTTTGTGATTGAGTACTCATACTTGTTAAATTGTAAATACATATCAAAAACCTGATGACGAGATTCCCCTTTTTTCTAGATAAAAATATTTTCTTGTCACTTCTTAATCCGTTTTCAGCTACGTGTATAAGTAAACGTTTGATGACTTTTGACCTTTTGAACTTTTGATTTTGTCATTTGTTAAGAGCTCTTTCTTGGGGTTCGGTATTTTTGTTACCTTTTTTATTACATTACTGTACTTCTAATCCAGTAAAAATAGAGAAACGTCTCTGACAATTCTATGCCTTTTTACATCAAGAAGTACTTTGTGTTTATATGGTGCATTATAATATTGAAATCAATGTTCTAATCGGTACAATTCTTAGTTAAAACCTACAATACACTTTCATGTAAGAAAAAACTATTCGCATGTACCTTTTTCGTATTTCTGATAATAAAAATATGATCATTATATCGTTGTTGGTTTCTTATCGTTGGGATGCTGTCTCATTGACATATACTCGACGTCTACTTTATTTGCACCTTTAAGAAATTGTAACTTTAGTTAAAAACTGCCTATTTAGAGATTTGTTTTTCAACGAAACCAAATAAAAATTACGAGCCACGATTTGTGTATCGACGTAAGTATTGCACGTAAGAAACATACATGATATTTTGAGCTATATTTTAGTGAGCATGAAACTTATATATTCAAGAAAATCTTAAAATTTGTTACACCAAATTCCATTCGGAAAAAAACCTGTTCATGAAAACTGAAATATTTTTATCAGACTCCAGAGATATTTTCACACAAACAAAATTCTCAAGACTAAAATAGGTTACTTTTAATAAATGTTTAAACGACAAAATATTTGTTCGCAATTTTTTTTTTTATTAATGTACCAAAAAAACTTATTTAAGGATGTTCGCTACTCTTTTTCAAAATAACAAGCTTTTTAAAAGACCGTCACTGTTATAAATTGATAGTATAAATAAATAAAGGAACTAAAAAAGCAGAAAAAAATTAAGGGTCCGTGTGCTTGTTTTCGAGATATAAACCATATATAATTTGGCGAGATATAATTCTCTGTAGTATTTCATACGTTTAACATTGGCACCCTTTTTCTTTAAAAAATTATGAAAAAATAACAAGGAATTTATAGCATTTTCAAATATGGATCTTTAAACTATGTGTAATAAAATTATGAAAAGAAAAGTAGGGGTTTGTGGGGATTTTTTTTAATGGCACTACATGGATAAAACCAGAGGATTCCGAATATCTGGCAAAAATTCAAAAACAAGAAGGGCGAACATCCCATGGATTTGTATAGTAATATGCTATACAAATCCTTGAACATCCTTAAAGCAAATTCTGTTAATCTGAAAGTAAACTTTTTACAAAATATCCTTTTATTTCATGAATGGAAATATGAAGATAGTGATCATATAATCTCAAAAGCTGTTTTTTTTTGTAAAGAATGTAGTTTATCTGATATTCTATATATATGTATAAAAAATATATTACAAAATATGGAAATTTAATGTGAAATGAATGCCGCATTTGATTAGTCACTTACCACAGGCAATAATAGTATTGAATACAGGCACAGAATTTGCAGGGCAATCTAGAAGTAATTCATTTGATGTCATTTCTAGAAGATTAGCGTACTCGTCATCGCTGGTGAGAGTAAAGTTGTCCGATTTTAGATCTGTTTCAAGGGAATTAATAAACTCTGTAACAGTATTCACTTCAGCTTCATATTGCTGTGATGTAAGTGAATCATTTCCAGACTCGAAATAAATTTCAGTGTTGATGATCATGGTATCTGTTGACCTTTTCTTCTGTTTTTGTGGACAAATCACCTGTGTTCAGAATGATGAAACATTTTGTAGAATGCAAAGTTATCTTGGGCATGCAAAATAAAAAAAAAAAGAATATTTGTGGATGTAAACATTAACTTCTTAAGTTCTTAAGTGATACTACGTATTATTTTCGACGATATAGCTAACGTTGCAATTTGAATAGAGATACAACATGTATACGACAGGTGTCACATGGCGTACAGGATCTGCTTACCTTCCGGAGCATCTGATGCTATCCCTAGTTTTGTTTGAAGGGAGTTCGTATTTCTGGTGCTTTGGTTTTCAGAGTTGTACTTCGTGCATTTTAATTTCTCAATTTATGTGTTCTACCGGTAGTAGTCTCGTCTAGCCTTTGTCGTGAAATCCGTTTTTGATTTCCGAAATTTTAAACTTGGTAATTTTTTTGGAGTTATAATTTAAAAGACAAATGGTTAGCAAATTTGTTGATTGTCTTAGGGTTATATCAGAGTTCATTTTCAATCCACTATTGCGTGATCCCTAATTATCTAATATATCTTATCACCGAGTAGGGTCTTTTCTGAAATCACCCCGGTTGTTTTTGGCTTCGTGTTGCTAAGTCTTAGTTTTTGTTGAGTTTTTTCGCTATTTTTTGCAATGCCATGGTGTTGTCAATTTTTCTTCGAGTTTGAATGTCCCTTCGGTATATTTTGCCTCTCTCTTTTGCTTATTGAAAAACTGCTCCAACAGAGTTATAAGGGGAAAGAACTGAAGTAATTATGGTGACAATCACGAATTTGTACTCGATACGATGTGTTTTAACAACTCACTAGCAACATATTTTCGCGGTCTTAGATCGTCAGACACGAAATAAGCCATCTGTTCTGCAATTTTACCGATTGTGTCCTCCACCCAATTGTGACATTTGGACTGTGTAGTCGTATAGCGGGTGACGTATTCATAACAGGATACGTTTTCCTTGTCGATGCATCCGGTTTTGCGCCTTTCGGAGTTCACGCAATTCCCACAGCTTTTTGTTCATTACTTTAATTAGTTTTCTAATTTGATTTACTAAGAGTATGAGATTTTAACATCAATAGATAACTGTAGCCATAAATTAAAGATCAGTTGGCAAATGATTCATGCATATTCAGATTAAGAATCATAAATGCAATAGAAAGAACGCGCACGGTCGACTGCGGTGATTCCATTTTGTCTACCATTGGTAAATGAAGTTCTGTTCGATAGGAAGAAGAAAAAAGTAAAATAACAAAAATACCGAACTTCGAGGAAAATTCAAAACGGAAAGTCTACAATCAAATGGTAAAATCAAAAGCCCAAACACATCAAATGAATGGATAACCTGACTTGGTACAGGCATTTTTTTCTGTAGAAAATGGTGGATTAAATCTGGTTTTATATCTAGCTAAACCTCTAACTTGTATGACAGTCGCATAAAATTCCATTATATTGACAATGTGTGAACAAAACAAACAGACATGATAGGTAAAAATGTCAAAAATATGGGTACAGCAGTCAACATTGTGTTATAATCCTAATCACTATAAAACAAAGAAATATATTAACAAAGAAAAAACAAAAAGGTATAAACACAAATCACACCAACAAAAACGAAAGACAAGAACACAAAAATTTACCAAAGCACAATAACTCAAGGACGGGATGTATAAGTAACAAGCCACGTCAAATGGATATCACCAAAAATAGACTAAACAGTAAAGGTAATAATTTACACAGACAAATAAAAGAACACTATAACATGTAATTCAGATGATAAATAACGTCAGTACCTAAAATCTATACTCCAAGATCATCGTGTATTATTTGTGAAGTTGATACGTAATATTTAGCAACAAGGTCTTGGTATCTTCTGATGAACTTGTTTAGAAATATTTTATCTTAAAACAGTTTATCATAGGATTCCGAAAAAGTTATTGCAAGGGTTTCTTTTTGCTCAGAGAGGGAGAGAGGCATTCACCTTCAACATGGGCGTTGTATTTAACGTAAATGCATGGATCCTTTAGTAAGATTCAAATTATATTTCCAAAGAAATACATAAAGTCTAGTTTGTAATTCAAAATACTGTAAGAATCTTTAAAATTGCCCTGTAAAGAATTTTACAGAAAATTTACGCTTTGTTCCAACTGATTATAATAAATCGCAATAAGTCATTATTGAAAAGTATTAACACAAATACTATGAAGGAAAAATTAAATACCTTTACGTTTCCAATATTGCATTCAGGACTCCTGCACATTTTCTTTACCATAAACGATTTGGAATTTTGAACTGCAGCCATAAAACTTTCCTTTATCTCTGCCTGAGTTTCTGGATCGTTGCAGTTTCCCGTGAAATAAAACTCAGCTGCCATTGTAACATATCTACGTGTTGAGTTTGCTGTTGCTAAAAAAAATAACAAAACACTGTACATTTTATTTAGATAGTATTTTGTTAGCTAAAAGAGGCGAAAGATAGCAAAGGGACATTCCATCTCATTAGTCGAAAATAAACTGTCAACGCCATGGCTAAAAATGAAAAAAAAGACCAACATTCAAACAAAAGTACACAAAACACAACATAGAAAACTAAAGACTGAGCAACACGAACCCAACCAAAAACTGGGGGTGATCTCAGGTGCTTTGGAAAGGTAAGTTATCGCAGCTGTACATGTGGCACCCGCCGTGTTGATCATGTTAGTACAAACCCGATAATATGTCTAAATCAGTAGGTCACATTCGGGATAAGGGGATGGGATTGTTGTTACGACATGTTAATAACATATTATCAGTGAAACGGATATTCCATAACGGTCAACCAACTCGTGATGGCGTCCGTAATATTAACGAAGGGATGATTTCAACAACACCACTTTGAACTCTTGGTTTGATTGCTTCCTTGTGAGCAGCAACCCTCTATCAAGGAAATCATGATAGGAAATACAAGCCCTGGAATATCGTACCAACTGGGAGAAATATACTCCGTATGAAGGCACTGCTGGAATGTTGCTACATAGAAATAGAAAGTTCACAATTATGAAGCTGAAATTATCTCTTTTGTCGTAAAGTTTTGTTTTCAACAGACAATCATTGTCCATTTCATGCTGTTTTTCTATTATTATATTAACTTCTTCCTTATTTTGTTCTTATTCTAACAAATCATCCTACATTTCCTTTATTGAATTATATATACGTATATACCTTTTGTAAAGCCATACTTACGATAACAGTCTGACAACTTTTTGTGATTCGTCCAAATTCCATTTTCTATGCAAACCATGAAATTTGGTAACGAAACAATTACAGAATATCCATGAGAACACAACGGGTGACAGAATCGTCCACCAACCCACACGTCACACGCCATAGCTCCATTGTCCGGTGGTACAATATCTGGACAACCATTTGATACTGAAATTTGAAATTTGTTTCCAATCTCGTTTTAAGTGGTTTCAGAAACATTAACATTAGCACATAGATTAACGCAAGTTTTCCAGTTTATTCTTTTTATGCGGTCTCAATTATTTCCGAATCAACTACTTCTTATAAATTATCTTACCCAACCCATTTCATGTAAAACGTTTATAGTTTGGAACATTAATCAAGGGAATCAATATTGTAAATTCAGAAATTATTGCGTGCATTTATTATTGCGATTTTTTGAAGAATGAACAAAAATGCTAATTTAATTATTGCGATTTAAGGCAATGCTACACAAAGCTATATGTACAAGATATCAGAATGCGAGTTCTTAAGGAATTGCATTATTCGCAAAAATAAAAATCTCGCAATAATTTCTGAATTTACAGTATAACATTTGAAAAAGAGAGAGACGAAAGATACCAGAGGGACATTCAAATCATAAAATAAACATAAACTGACAACGCGATGGCTAAAAGAGAAAAAGACCAACAGACAAACAATAGTACACAAAACACAACATAAAAAAAATTAAAAACTGAGCAAAAAAGGAGCTCTTAAACTTGGTCCTTTATTAGGCCTTTTTAACTTTTTTTTATTCGAGTGTCTCTGATTAGTCTTTTGTGGACGAAGCACGTGTCTGGCGTATACAATTAATCCTGGTATCTATGAAGATTTATTCCTGCTTGGTACAGGCATTTTTTTATGTAGAAAATGGCCGCCATCGTAAAAAGCTGTAAATAAAGGCAACAGTAGTATATCACTGTTCAAAAGTCATAAATCGATTGAGAGAAAACCGTAATAGCGTTTTAATAGTGTCTTTTTTTTCTCATTTTTTCTTTTTGCTTTCATTCCATATTTATACATTATTAAATAAGCATACTGCTATATTATCCTATGTTTGATTTAGAACGGTCAAATGCCGACTGCTGTCTCCCTTAACCATAAAATAAATCAACACACAAATAAATACAATAACTTGAAGTGAAGATAAACAAATAGACATTATATGTACATCATTGAAAGGAGTCGAATGACACAACAATATTATAGTTTGTTAAACTCTTCTATGAACAGGTATTATCAATTAAGCTTTAATAGTAAAAGTAATCACATATTGTGCGTCAGTGGTATAAAAAACAGATGGAACATTATGATGATTTTTGAAGTGAAAACGCACAATTTCGAACTTTTAATGTGATGTTCTTTTGAGAGGTCAATAGCTTTATAGGTCGTCAGATAAATTAAAAATTTAGATTAAAATTTATTTTAAGATAGCACAGTGGTCAGTAGATTCTTAAAATTAACTAATGCTAGAAAAATAGACAGAACGTGATAGAAATGGGTTATATTACCTGTATTTGCCAAAATGTATCTTATAAAATAATATACTATGTGTGTATTCGTTTAAATATTTGGATTTTTATTTTATTATTTAAACAATAGATGAAATCTTACGTTTACAGAACGGATGGAAATCCATAGCCCAATTTGCGTAGGGATCACTTCCATTTCTATTGCAGTAGGTGTTGTTTGTACCGACTAAAACGGAGTTATCTTGACATGAGAAAGCACATTCAGAACCACGCCTTGTTCCTGTACAGTTTAACTTCATATAAGGTCGTGGATATAACTTAGGACATCTCAGTTCTGTAAAGAACAATATTAAATAAATGTATATTGTGTTAATATGCAGAATGAAATAATATAATTTAAGATATAGTACAAAATTGTTTAATAAGAAGATATAATTGAATAAGAAATACAAGTGGTCGGAACGTAGCGTACAACGAAACTGTGTTTGTCTTCTACAGATAAAGGTTATGGTTTTTAAGTTCTAGCGCTGAAGAAGTATAACCCAGGGCAGAAAATTTACAATCCTGCACAGAAGTTATAAAATCAAGCGTTTAAAATGTAAAATGAGTGCTGAATATGTAAAATTTACAGCGCTAAATATGTAAAGTCTATCGCTGTAGATGTATTTTTAGTCGTGTGCTGCAATAGTGGACTACATCATTGAAGATATGAATTCAAGAGCAAAATTTTCGAACGGTCGCTCTAGATGTTAAGTCCAGCGCTGGGAGTGTTTAGTCCACTGCTGGAAATGTGAAGTAAATTGCTAGGGATATATATAAAGTCAAGTACTATAAATGAAAAGTCTAGTAATGTAGGTATGCAAAATTATTTTGTTCTGTGTATAACGGGTCAACCGGTGCTGTTATGAAATTCCGTTTAAAGTAGTAACAGGGAAACTCTTGGCATTCTCATCTCCCCCCCCCCCCTAAATAATCTCAATTGTCTGAATTGATACTTATAAACTGGACTTAAAATTTACAACGCTAGAATTTTCATCACCAGCTAAGTACTTTAACCTTCTGTGCAATATTTTAAAGCTAAACTAGAGGGCTGAGCATTTTCATTGTCAGCGCTTGAGAACATAAAATTAGTTGCAGCGCTAGATTTTACACCCGCAGCACTTGGGTTTACATATTGACCTCTAGAATTTAAATCTTCAGCTGTGGATTTTTCATTTAGAGCAGTAGCGTTTACATCTTCATGTTTTGCCTTGATGACACATTTTAAGAGTTATATTCATACTTTTGCAAATTGCTGATATATGCATGGCCAATCTTTGAATTAGATTTGCAATAACGTTACTAAACTCCACTAAAAAGATTTTCAATATGAAATTATAATGAGAATTAATAAGTTATTTTCTTACGTTTAATCACAATATCAAATGAACACTCCCTTCCTTCATTTCCTGCTAAATCTTTAACTGTATACCTGACAGTATACGTATTAACTCCTTGTTCGGATGCTGGTGGTGGACCTATTATTTGTGTAGGTTCTAATCCCTTGTCTTTGTTGTCTATTACTACTGGTTTGTCCCAGGAGATAAAGGCAGTGTCTTTATTATCTCCAGGATAGAACATTAAGGTGTTTGGACATTGTTCAAAAGAAGGTGGTTCAACGTCTACAACATGAAAAATAAATATTGAAACATCTGTGAACTTTTTTTTTTGATTTTTTTTGTTTGTTTGTTTTTGTTTTTTTTATATTTTGTTTTCACTTTTAATCAAACTTACAATAAACGTGCATTATCGGTTAATATTAATTAATTTGTACGAGCGTTAGAAATAAAAAGATAATAATCACGATTCGTCAGCTGTCACCGTTGTGTGCATTTTACTTATAAAGGGGCATTAGCTGTCAAATTCATGTTCGCCGATTTGACTCAAATTCTCTTATTTAATTTATAACATACTAAACGTATATCCAAATTACAATCAGTCTGAAATAAACAATTAACAAAGAATGGACTCGAAAATATATATCAGTATTTCTTGAGTGTTTTAGTCTAGACACCATCTAATTAACCATCGAGATGACCTCTGAAGACTGCCGACAATCACTTAACCCGATATAAACATAAATATAAATAGATAGCGACCTCGTGCAATTGGACTTTTCTAGATCTGTTTGATTTCATGAAATAGGTTAAAAAGATAAGTTAATCATCGTTTTACCAGTATATGATTGATTTTTTGAGGATCGAATCAGTCAACGAAATGATTTATCCTTGTTTCTATTTCAATGTTAACATTCTTTTCCTTTTTAAGACCGAACACGACTTATACATGCGTAACCAATCTCTAGCGAATGGGTTAAACTAAAGGTCACATGAATACGGATTCAATGAGGTCGAATTATTAATAATTCATCAGGGATGTTTCTTAGCTTATTTTGACAAAATTGAACTAAACTGGCTGCTTAAAGCGGATTATTACTTCACTATTTCACTTTCATTAATAAATCATATTTTCCTTTTTTTGATATCTTGTAGCTTATGCCCTTTAATAAAAGCAGGTGGTTGTTATGCGGACCGCGGAGAGTACATCTTGTTGACTATTTGATAAATTTGGAACAATAAGTTTATTTGTATACTTTGATGCATAGTACAATGTCTGACTGTAGGGAAAAAAGAAAGAATCGTGTTTTTTTTTCTTAACATTATACCATTGCATGGTATGTATTAAAGAATAGCATGTCATTGTTGTAGTTGTCACATATATATATATATATATAGGCTTTGCCATGACGTTTGTCTTTAAAAATTCAAATAAAATGTGTCTTAAATTTTTATAAAACAATTGAGAATGAATATTGACGTGCAAATATAAAATCAAGCGTTAAAGATGTAAAATGAGTGCTGAATGTGTAAAAGCTACTGCGCTAAATATGTTCACCTATATCAAATAGGATTTTTTTTTACCAATCTTATACTTGTTAAGTGTCAAGTTCTAATATTTACCAACACAATCTGGATCGTATCCGTTCCATTTCCCTGATGCCAGACACACTTTAGTTCTCCGTTGATTTGTAGGAATATCGAATCCTGCATCACATCCAAATGTGCATATAGATCTGAAGTAAAAATCTTCTGTGCACGAAAAACTTAGCTGGCCAGATTGAACAATTGGTGAACACTTTTTTTCTGTAAACATAAAATATAAGTCATTGATACAACTTAAGATTATTCGAGTACTCGCTCGAAACATATCTACAAAATGAAAACACAAAATAAGACCAATTTTTCGAGTTCAACATTATCATCTAGGACTAATTAGTAGTCCTCGGATTTTAAAACATAATTAATTGCTCATTTAATACATAAAATAATTTTGTACAATTATCTAATCAATAATTTAATTTAAAGACCTCTTAAAAAATTATGAGAACGCCAAATCAGATCAAATAACAGTATTTGGTAATCGTAAGAAAAAAAATTTAACGATTACCAAAGGGGTGATGATGACATTAACCATTTCCTGATGATCCCACATTGTTCAACAAATTTATTTTTTAAGACAAATAAATAATCTTGTCAATTTTTCTAGGCAAATTCGGTCTTCTCAATTTTGTCACGTAACTAAAAATCTAGAAATTGACAATGAGGGTCGGCTGAAAACAAAACTTTTCGACAAAAGGGATGATTTCAGCTTCCCAATTGTGAACTTTCCATTTCTTTGTAGCAAACTTCCAGCAGCGCCTGCATACGGAGTATATATCTCCCAGTTGATACGTTATTCAAGGGCTTGTATTTCCTATTATGATTTCCTTGATAGAGGATTGCTGCTCACAAGGAAGCTATAAAACCAAGAGTTCCAAGTGATGAAGTTGATTTCACCCCTTCTTAAATTTTACGGACGCTATCACAAGTGGGTTGGCCGTTATGAAATAACCGTTTCGTTGATGATAGCAGATATGTTCCAATTGTCGTTACTACAATCCCGTCCCCCTTTTTTTGAATATGACCTACCAAGTTAGACTTATTACCGGGTATGTACTAACATGAGCAACACGATGGGTGCCACATGTGGAGCAGGATCTGCTTACACTTTCGGATCACCTGAGATCCCCCAGTTTTTGGTGGGTGTTGCTCAGTCTTTGGTTTTCTGTGTTGTGTTTTGTGTACTCTTGTTTGTCTGTTTGTCTTTTTCTTTTTTTAGCAATGGCTTATCTGTTTTTATTTCGACTTATGAGTTTGAATGTCCCTTTGGTGTCTTTCGCTCCTCTTTAATAGTCCTGCACTGCAGACATGATTGTTTGATAATGCAAACATTACAGATGTGGTAGAATGGCACTGTTTAGCCGAACTTGAAAGCCTAGAAAAGCTGCTCTCATGCAAAGCCCACCCTTTTTCGAAGGAATTTTAAATGACAATTAAGCGCAAACATTGGAAACGTATTTTAATTTTGATTCATTAATGATTACTGTTTAATTTCCCGAGAGGCGCTCTCAGTCAAAATCAATAGAAACAACATTATTCTAAAAGGAAACTGATTAGTCGTGCATCATTTTGGTATTCGATACTCGGTACTACCGACCAATACTCGGGTTGACATCCCTAATACAAATGCATACATTTACAGTAGGTGTTCAATTCAAACAAATGCTGATATCTTATTGGCTGAAAAAAGGGTCATTTGATTCCTTCAATTGCGTTCATTTCGAATAAAGGTAACCTATAACGTAGGAAAGTAACCAATGCAGTATGAAAGCAACACAAGTTCATAGAATTATTAGAAAAAATAAAAAAACAAAGATAACTAACTCAAACAAATCGGAAAGTCCGTTATTAAATGGCGAAATCAAAAGCTCAAACACATCAAATGAATGGAAAACAACTGTCATATTCCTGACTTGGTACAGGTATTTCATTATGTAGAAAATGGTGGATTAAGCCTGGTTAATTAACTCCGTGTACCCAATTAATAAACAATATTTGTTATGCTTTGTTCTTAAGCTTTTGACAATATATCTTGTAAACATTGATGACTGATATAACTATAATTATTATCCTATGATATACATATACAATAATTATTGAAATTTTATCAATATTTCACGGGCTGTCAACTTAGAAATTGACATTTTCCAAATCATATGCCAATTTCAATTTGAATGATGATACTTAAAAGTATTTTCTGTCCGGAAACAGAATGTGAGATAAATAATTTATTATTCTATTAAAAATGAATAGAGGAACCAGGAAGAACTAAAAATAATGTTTTCCTGTATACGCCTTCCTAATATGATTGGCACTTACTTTCACAATATGGCTCCTTTTGACTTGACCATTGACCTGTTTCTAAACATTCTATTCTTGATGGTGCTCCTTTAAGTGTGTGTCCTTGGTAACAGCCATACCAACAGACTGTTCCTAAAACCATATCACTACTCGGATGACAGACCCTATATCCATCTGGTATGCTGCTTGAACGCACCGGACATCGTATGACTGGACGTTCATATAAAATATGAAAACAAAAACTAAGAAAATGTGAATTTTAAAACTTATTTTGTTCATTCTTTAATATTATCAACAAAGTGTTCATATCTTAAAGAAAGAACTTTTTGTGTCATTCTAAAGGTTGAAATATTTTACATGAGCTTTGAATAATTATAATTCCCTCGAGTAAAACGTGTTACATTTAGGCATGTCTGCTAAATTTCAACTGAAAATACTAATTTAACTATAAATTTTGGAATATGTTTTATTCGTTCGTTGTTTTAGAATTTTCCTTGAACGAAACTGAAGACGCCATTTGCATTCACAACGTATCATCCTTATTTAAATCGTATGATTATAATACAGTAAGCATAGTTATGTAAGTGCACACATTACAATTAGTTTAATTTCAGCAAAACATAAGTGTTCTGCGTGTAATTGGATTTTTTTGGGTAATTTTATACGATCAAAACAAACTAAAAGCTGTTCATTTCTACCGTCTCCTCTTAATACTGCTGATTCATTTATTTTCGTGGCTTGGGAAAAAAATGAATATTCTTGAATATTTGATATCATGGTTTTGGGAAAGTCTTAAAACGAGCTTTTACAAAATTTGCATTTGAACATATATATTCGTGGTTTACCTTTTCCCAGGAAATCCACAAACATAAGTATCCCACGAATATTAATGAACCATCAGTATTATGTTCTCTGTTTATTTCTGTATTGGTCGTTGGTATATAGGCTGTACTTAGATGAAGGATAAAGGCGACTGCGTAATGCTAGCTATATATATATATAGGCAGCGTTGCCATAGAACGTAGAGAAAACATTTTAGGTTCCAGCCCCGGTTGGAGAGGAAGTGAAGAATCAGATTTATTCTCACGTAGTTAGGTTGATTTTCTAGGCACTTTATTTAATATATGTTTACCTTTTACATATATGTTAAAGTTGCATGTTGCCATATTTCCTGATTGATCTCGAGCATAGTAACCAACTTCAGTGGGTTTACCATCTCGTTCAAAGAATGGACCGCCCGATCTATACGGCCCTTCAATATGGATACTTTAAATAAATGAAATGGTATTGTTTTACTATTTTTGCGTAATTGTAACATGGGTATGTATGACAAACTACGAGAAAGACGGATGCATATGGTTGCGATTATTGCATATTGGGAC